GGAACTGTATTTCACAGGGTTTGCCATAACTGATTTTTTGGAAATAGATTGCCAGATCTTTCTTCCAAGGAGCCTCTGAGTGGACTAGAACTTCCAACCCTTTGGTTAGCAGCTCAGCATGTTAACCATTTGCCCCATCTGGGGACTCCTAATTCATATAGGAATTGGAGACATTTTTCTAAAATGTAGGTGTGATCATGTCACCACTCTGGTAAAAATTCTTCATGTGTCCTTCATTGCTGACAGGACAATGAGGTCTTTGGTAAGTTATATAAAATCCATACAGCCTGAGTCACCAATCATCATCCTCTCCACTCACCATTCCGCAAACATGCCGGGTCTCTGGACAGGCTGCTCCTGGGCTTGAACAAGTTGGCCACCCTTTTCTCCTATGAAGTGCTTACTGTTCCCTTAAGACCCAGCTCAGCATGCCTTCTGAGCCCCTAGGCAAGTGGGCACTCCCTTGTCCCTGCACTGTAGCAGTAGCATTTTGTTCATACTTGTAGCACTTATTCATACTCATAGCAACCCCATAGGAAAGAGGAGAACTTTCTCGTAAAGAGTCCAAGGCTGTCATCTTCATGGAAGCAGACCCACCTTGTTCTTCTGGGGAGAGGCTGCTGGGTTCAAACCACCAGGCTTTTCAGTTAGCAGCTGAGTGCTTTATCGCTGCACCACTATGAGCCAGAATTGACTCAGTGGCAACAGGTTTGGTTTGGTTTGGTTTCTGGCACTTAACACAAACTGCAATTATTTGTCGATTCTGGGGCTAGACTGTAGGTATAGAAAGCAGGGAGATGGATAGGTACGTATATGCTTCGTCCCTGCCCCGTTGGCAGCATTCCAGCCACCAATTCCAGCACTGCCCTCAGAGAGCAAAGGGGTGAGGGAAGGGTCACAGGAGTCCGCTTCCTGTGAGGAAAGCAGGAGGGCTAAAATAGTGGGTAGGAAGAAAGGCCTGGGGGTCTATAGAAGAAGGTCAGGCACTGAGAGCCCCACGGATCACAGCAGTGCCATCGGCAACCCGCCCCAGGGCCACAGGGCCCCAGGGCCACAGGGTCACAGGGAGGGTGCAGGACCCGGCGGAGCTTCAGCCCATTGTGCAGTCAGTCGCCATGAGTGGGGGGCCGACTTGACGACAGCCAACAACAACTTGATACTTTAAATAACACGGCAGGGGCGGGCCTCCCTGAGAACAAAGGCCTGAAGGAAGGGAAAGACTGATGCAGCCATCGGGGCACAGAAAGTTCCAGACAGCGGGAACAGCCAGTAAAAGATAAGACGAGGGGAGAACACACAGAGGAAAGGAAGGGTTATCACAAATAGGTCCATGTGCCTTATACCCTCCAGAAAAATGGTAACTCGGGAATCTGAGTAACGCACACAAGACAAATGCTCTTTCTGGCCCTAACCAGGAAATCTTACAAGGCCCAGATCGAAATCCCAGTTGCACAGTTGAGGTATGCTGCTTGTCTTATCTGGCCATATTTGTATCAGCTTTTTTGTGATTGATGAATGTGCACGGACATTTACAAGGACATTTACAATTTATGCTCCTAGAATCTGCTCTCCCTTTTGTAGAAACAAAATTGCAGATTGGCTCTAGAGGAGGCCCTCCTGCCCTGCTCCTCTCCCAAAGCCCCTGGTCAGTTACTGTACCCAGTAAGGCTGACTCTACCTTCAGCTCTAGGAACATGTAATAGAGCCAAAGCCAATCAGCACATTTTATCCCTCTGACTTCAGGAATCAGTCCCCACTAACAGGAGAAAAATGATCTTTTTTGCTACGAGGAAGATGTTCTTTTTCATTCCTACTGGACTTGAACCTAGAAGGCTTGAGATTGAGGCCAGTATGTGAAAGTAGAGTCAAGAAGGGAAAAGCAATGGAGTCCTGGGAGGTCTGAACTCATTGCCGTTGAGCTGATTCTGACTCTAGGCAACCTTGAGTTACAGAGCAGAACCACTCCACAGGGTTTCCAAGTCTGTAATCTTTCTGGACACAGACTGCTACATCTGGGTTCAAACCCATGGCACAGGAAGTGGATTCAAACTGCCGACTTTGTGGTTCGCAACCGAGTGCTTAGCCACTGTGCCACCAGGCCTCTTTCTGGTGAGGTCACTTGTCCTCAATGCCTGATAAACACAAAGTTGTCTCTTTACGTGCCCCCTACTCCTCATGAGTCAATAAATTCCCTTTTTGCTTGTCCTTTTTAATCTCTAATACATCCAATCAAAGAAACCTGCCAAAACAGGCTCCAGCTTGGCTTATCATCTTAACTGCTTTGGCTAGTAAGAAAACCTCTGTGTACATGTCACGTACATCAAAGCGGAAAATATAATTGCTCAAAAAATGCAACTACTTACCTTATATCTCAGTGTCCCCCGCAACAAAGTATGAGCAGATGAAATGCCGTAAATCTCAGCGTATTTTGTGCTGTCTCTGTTGGGGTAGCCTTCCAAATTTAGTCCTGGGAAAAAATCCATGGAAGTCACAGTATCGAGAAAGGAGAGTCCGCCTGCAACGTCCACCACCTGAAGAGCGTTGCAAAAGCACAGAGGGGTGTTGTGGGTGGAACTGGGCTTTCCAGAAAGTTGTGCTGAAGTCCTATGCCCTGTACCTGCAAATGTAACCCTGCTTGGAAAATTGGGATCAATTTTTTCTTGCCTCTGGATCAAATGGAACTGAATGATGGCCCACTAGGGTTTCTCATTGTTTTAAATAATAACTCAGAGCAACAGACACTCATTCAAATGGCTTCTCTGCTCCAACAGCAACGGCAAGATTCTAACTCCTCTTTTCTTCTTTCTGCCCCCGTCCCCTTCCCAGTGCCATATCAGGCACCAGTCTTGTACATTTCACTCACATAGCTAGCATTTATTGAGCATCTCCTACATGCCAGGAATTACACTTATTGTGGACTGCCTATGAAATTGATGAGAAAGATGTAATTCTTATAGCTTACTGAAAAAAAAATTTACCAAATGTCTAGCAAGTGCCAAGAACTGTGTTAGACAGATTGTCAGTTGCTCACCGCCTAGACTAGTACACCTACAGCCGTAGGTTGCAGACAACAGGAGAATCCTCTCATGGGGACAATACCATAAACATATTCAAATGAGCATGTTACCCCTGATCTTACCGCCGATGATTCCAAGCTTTTTTTTCTCCCATTTCTCTTACCCACATCCTTTTTTTTTTTAACATCCCTTCCTCCATCACACACACACATCTCAAACGCAGGGAAGTATTTTTCTTCAGTTTTCATTAAAGGACTGAATTTTCTCTTAGTTGGTGTGCTTTTTTGTTAGCCCTTGAGATAATGAAAAGCACCTTGGAGTTAAAAAATCAGGGCTAGAATATGGGCTGGGGTGCTGGTGGAACTGGATTTTGTCTCAGTTGCACCTTACTGAAGAAGGAGCCTGGTGGTGCGGTAGTTAAGTGGCCATCTGCTGACAGAAAAGTCAGCTACTCCATAAGAGAAAGATGTGTAGTCTGCTTCCATAAAGACTACAGCCAAGAAGCCCTATGAGGCAGTTCTACTCTGTCACATGGGGTCACTATGTGCTGGGATCCCTGGACAGGGCACAGCAACAACAGCACCTCTGGAAACACTTCTGGCCATGTCTCTAAAGCTGCACTATATAAGACCACGTGAAGGAGCTATCAAGCTACCTTAGACGGACTCAGGGGACTTCGTCTGAAGGAAACTTGGGCTAAATGTAATGATTCCTACAGGTCATTTGTGGATGGGTTCTTCATAAGCTTCAGTGGAAACCAAAACCAAAACCCACTGCCATCAAGTAGGTTACAGCTCAAAGAGACCCTATGGGACAGAGAACTGCCCTGTAACTTCCAAGGCTACAAATCTTTATGGAAGCAGATTGCCTCACCTTTCTCCCACAGAGTGGCTGACTGGTTAAAACCACCAACCTTTTGGTTCAAAGCCGAATGCTTTAACCACTGTGCCACCACAGCTCGTCCTCAGTAAGAGAACGGAAATTAATTTATTTGTGGCTCAAGCCCCGAAGGAGAAGGGCTACACTGACTGCAGTACCAGGCCTGGCTGAGTCCTTTGGGTTAATAGGATCATTTCACAGAGTGCCAAGCACCATCTAAGGTTCCCAGGGAATCTGAAAGAACAGAGAAGTGCTTTTCACTTAATTTTCTTGTGAAATTCTTCTAGACTTCACCGTAAACGTTCTACACTATTTCTTGAAAGCAGATTGCTTCAACCAGGATTTAAATTAAAACATTTTTTAAAAACCTGAGGAGGCAAATGTTGACCACTATGGTTTCCACACTCACCTCACTTCTATAACTTATGGCAATGCTAAAATTTTGCTTATTTGAAAGCCAGGAAATTTTCAGAAACAAAATTTCAGTAAACACCACAAAATTCTGGCACTTAACTAACCAGAAATTAACCAGCTGGTTCATAAGTCTGTTGTGAGACCTTTGGAAAGAAAATAGGGAAATGGGAGCTGAATGGTAAGGATTCGTTTGGAGAAAGCTGCACCAAAACAGACCACATGAAGGAGCTATCAAAGTACCTTAGATTGACTCAGGGGACTTCATCTGAATAAGATATCTGACCCCAATAGTACTGGATAGTCACTATCATTTGATGTCAACTCAGATTTGTATTTCTAAGTGGCATACCACAGGGTTCAGTATTAAGACCTGTCTTGTTTAATATTTTATTAGCGCTTTGGATGAAAACTGAAAGACATATTTAATCTATTTTTCAGAGAATATAGGTTTTTTTTTCTCTGCCCCAACAAGGCTCACATCCAAGACCCACTCCCTGCAGAAAGACTGGCTCCTATCCACCGCTGCTGGAAGCTGCTCTAAAGTGCTACTGTCTTCTCCCCACCCACCCTCATACCTGGCTCCCAAGAGTTGAGAATCATAGTCACATGTTTGGGAGCCAATATTCAAAATAATCATAAGAAGCTCCATAGCTAAACAGGAAGAAATCTAACATGGGAATGTGCTAGGAATGCCTTATATATATTACCTTTAATCCATTCTATGACCCATTTTACAGAGGCAGAACTGAAGCTGAGCCACCCAGAGGCACAAGTAAATCGTGCCTGTCTGGCTCCAATCACTAGGTTCCCCCTACATCAGACTGCTCCCTTCCTTCTGCTTGTTATGGAGCAATATTTCGAGAGGGATGGTGACAAACTAAGCAGCCCTGGTAGCGTAACGGTTAAACGCTCAGCTGCTAACTGAAAGGCTGGCAGTTTGAATCCACCCAGTGGTTCCGTGAGAGAAGGTCCTGGGATGTGCTCCCATAGAGATGATAGCCTAGAAAACCCTATGAGGCAGTTCTATCTGTCGCATGGGGTCTCTATGAGTCGAGAATCAATTTGACGACACCCAGAAATAACAACAGTGACAAAGTACAGCCTGTGAGATTATGCCACCAGTGATGCACCTGAAAACTGCACTAAGAATGTCTGCAGGAACCAGGAGAGCAGCAGCAACTCTTGATTTTCTAAAAATAGATGGCTAGGTGGTGCAGTCCACCAGCCACTCCTCCGAAGGAAGCTTGGGCAGTCCTACTTCCGTAGTGATACTGCCTCGGAAACCCAAGGAGGAGTCACTATGAGTCTGGGCGACTGGACGGCACATAACAACAACAACAGGTGGTGCAGTCAGGGGAAACAAGCAATGGGCGGAGAGCTAGATAACTTATCTTGAAGCTGGGTTTGCCTAGTCTATTGCATTTGCATGCTTTGTACACAGATAGCATGCTTAGCTGGAGTAGTTTGGGCGAGGAGGCTGAAGGAGTGCTAGGGTGTGGCTGTAGCTTTGCCACATCAATCTCAGATGCCACCTATGTCACAAAATATTCCACCACCATTGGAAAGAATGGAACTGAGAGAAGACCACATTGTTTCTTCCAAGGTATGGAAGAGAAATTAGACTTGTCAGAAATCAACTTTGTAGTTAGAAGTTAGAACCAATACCAACTAAACCAAACCCACTGCCATCAAGTCAATTCTGACTACAGAACTGTGGAGTTACTCCATAGGATTTCCAAGGCTGTAAATCTCTATGGAAGCAGACTGCCATATCTTTCTCCCTCAGAGAGGCTGATGGGTTCGAACTGTCAACCTTTTAGTTAGCACCTGAGTGTTTCAACCACTGCACCACCAGGACTCCTTAGAACTAGTACCAATGGTTGAAAACTACTGCAAGGATGTAGGGCCATGAGGCATGTCTTAATCCATTCGTCAGTGCTTATCGGCTGGAAAAGTTAAAGCCTTCCACTTTAAGCAGAAGCCAGAGAGGTCACCTGGCAGCTCCTTGAAGATTCTGGGAATCACTGAAGGCCCGCTTCCTGGTGAAGGGTGATGGTAGCAAATGGGAGGAGGCACATGAATACCAGAGTGCTTTTAAGAAGTTTAACAACCTGCCTTGGGAGACAGACTGATGCACTTGAATTACTGAATGAATAAGACAGCACCTGGAAATTGCTTAGACATAGACAACTGAAGTGTGGGAGTGCAGAGAAGAGAATCATGAGTGGTTAGGAAGGCTTCATTCACAAGAGGAAACTTGAGCAGGACCTTGAAGAAAGTTATCATTCTAGCAAAGAAAAGCACTATGCTTTGTCTGGTGTCCTCCACGGTGTCAGGGAGATGCAAAAATCATTCCTTTTACAAAAGGAGTTCAAGATAAAAGGGAAAAACTCCAAAGTCAACAAATATAATAGCTGCTGCCTGAAAAGAACCTCTTGCTTTTCCTGAAGTCTTACCACCAATAATTTCTGCATGTTGCTAATATTTGCTGGAAGCTCATGATATGCTCACCATGCTGCTCACTGTTGTTGTTATGTGCCATCGAGTCGGCCCCGACTCATAGCGACCCCTCTTTAGGTTTCCCAGGTGGAATCACTGTGGAAGTAGATTGCCCAACCTTCCTTCTGACGAGTGGCTGGTGGGTCCCACTCATTAGGGAGGTTGTAATCTAAGTGCCTTGCAGGCTTCTTGTGGTGTAGCTCATTGAGATCACTCACATTACAACCTCCCTAATGCTACTCACTTAGATTACAACCTCCCTAATGCTACTGGTAGCGTAGTGACTAAGGTACTTGACTGCTAACCAGAAGGCTGGCGGTTCAAACCCACCAGCCACTCCTTGGAACAAAGATGGGGCAATCTACTTCAGTAGTGATACTGCCTCGGAAACCCAAGGAGGGGTCGCTATGAGTCAGGTCCAACTCGACGGCACACAACAACAACAACAACACTACTCATTAGTAGCTACTCATAGTAATGCTAGCATTAGTAACAGCAGAGCTGGAGCACGAAGTCAGGCCCACTAGCATCAAATCTCTTGCTGGTGCTGTTGCATTGGCTGCACTCTGCTCACCCCTTCATTGTTATTATCTTTCATTTTTATGGTCTCCTGGAAACAAGCACCTTGCCCAAACTGAAGCAGGAATTTTTCCTGGATGCATATGTTAGTTTATATTGAACTTAGGCTGGGTCTGAAGGTCAAAGGCTGCTGAGATGCAACAGAAGCCAGGCTGTAGCATGGGAATGTGTGTTGAGTTTCTGGCCTAAACTTTCATGGGTCAGATTAGAAAAATGATGCAACACTGGTGCTCACATTACACAAGAGGCCACTAAAGCCTAGGGGACATTAATTGCCTGGCCTTCGGTGACACTGTGAGGGATGCAGCACTTAAACCAGAACTCAGGGGTCCTGCTTCATATCCTGAAACGTGGACTGCACCTTCCCAGCGTCAACCTGTGTGTTTAGTGGTGCGGTAAGTGTAGCTGCAGGTCTCTCATCACTGACTCAGGGGTTCTCAAACTCCACTGCACATAAAATTACCTGGGGACTTCTGAAAACTCCCAAAGCCCAGGCAAACCCTAGGCCCATCAAATCAGACTCTCTGGGGTTGGGGCCTAGGCACCAGAACTTTTTATACTTCCCTGGTGATTCCAACATACAGCCAAGCCTGCAAGACACTCTCTAGATTGTAGGTGCAAAAGATATTGGCTAATATGATAATAACATCCACCTTGTTTCTTAAGAAATTGTTTCACCTTAGTCCTTTGTATAGGGCAATCTACTTCTGTAATGATACTGCCTCAGAAACCCAAGGAGGGGTCGCTATGAGTCAGATCTGACTCAACAGCAGTGAGTTAGTTAGTTAGTCCTTTGTACATGACATATATTCAGATTCACAGCTACATTGAGAGTTTATGATATGGCTCCCAGAATAATCTTTTTTAAGTAAGACACAAGTCTAATCACCCTGAGAGTGGCTGTCTCTTTAAATTCTACACCTCAGGTGCCTCAATCACTTCACCCAAGGCAATCCTTACTCCTTGTTGGTTTACTGTTGCTTTTGTATGCCATCAAGTAGATTCTGACTCATACTGACCCTACAGGAGAGAGTAGAATTGCCCTGTGTGGTTTCCAGGGCTGTATATCTTTATAGTAGCAGTTTGCCAGACTTTTTACTTCTATGGAAAAACGCCGACCTTTTGGTTAACAGCCCAGCGCATTACCATGGCATCACCAGGTAGTAGCATGACTAGATTAAGCATCAGGAATACTTGAGAGGGGAAAAGAGGGAGGTTGGCAATGAGGCTAGAAGAGATAGCTGTGGTCACAGCATACTGTGGAGTTTTCTATTTATTTGGTATTACCTACCAAATAAATACCTGTTGTTTGCCTTGGAGTTGGTTCCAACTCATAGCAACCCTATAGGACAGAGTAGAATTACCCCCGAGAGATTCCTAAGCTGTAATCTTTACAGAAGCAGGTCATTAGATCTTTTCTCCCACTGACTGCTGGTGAATACAACCTGCACCTATTCAGTTAGCTGCCGAGTGCTTAACCGTTGTACCACCAGGACTCCTAATAAGTACCTAGTACCTACCAAACACTCCTCGGAAGGAAGGTTGGGCAATCCTACTTCCGTAGTGATACTGCCTGGGAAACCCAAGGAGGGGTCGCTATGAGTCGTGGCCGACTCGATGGCACATAACAACAACAACAACAACACCTACCAAACAAATACCAGAGTTCATAGCACGATACAACCAGCTTTCACACCCAGCCATATTGCCAATGTCCCCTCCTTCCACTCTCAAGCATTCCTACTGCTCAGTCTAGTCACACTATTTCCCAAACATGAGTCTTCACTGTGGTTGCCATGAGTCAGAATCAACTCAACGGCCACTTTGTTGTTGTTGTTGTTGTTGTTTGCCGTGGAGTCGGGCCCGACTCATAGCGACCCCTCCTTGGGTTTCCAAGGCAGTATCACTACGGAAGTAGGATTGCCCAACCTTCCTTCTGAGGAGTGGCTGGTGGGTTTGAACCGCCAGCCTTCTGGTGAGCAGTCAAGTGCCTTAGGCACTATGCTACCAGAGCTCCTCAACGGCCACTAGTCTGGTTTTTTGTTTGTTTGTTTTATTTTAAGAGCATAAATTATGACATTAGACAGATGTGATCTCTATAGTGGCTCTACCACTTACAATCTCTTTAACTGTGGCTAAGGTACCTAACCTTCCTGAGCTTGTTGTCTCCCTAATAAGTCTGATAGGGTTGTTGTAAGAATCAAATGAAGTCAGTGCTTAGCATATGTTATACACTGTGTGCCCAAAAAAGTTGCCGAAGTTCCCCTGTACCTGTGAGTGTGACCCTGTTTGAGAACAGGTTTTTCTTTTGTTGTGTTAATGAAATCATATTAGAGAAGGGAGGAGGACATGCCAAGAGAAGATAAGCTACAAGACAAGAAACTCCCAGGGCTACAGAATCTAAGAGACAAGGATCTTACCCTAGAGCCACAGGGAAAGAAACAATCTAATCCTGTCAGTCCTGCATTTGGACTTCTAGCCTCCAAACTGTAAGATGGTAAACTCCTGCTTTTTAAAGCCCTCTCATTATACATTTTGTTACAACAGCCCTAGGTAGCTCAGACAGCACAGTCGCCGGCACAGTGGCAAGCTCCCTGGCTGGCTGGCACCTTCTAATTCTTCAAGGATCAGATCATCTTCACTTCTCTGCTGATTTTCCTTTCCCTCACCTCCTCACCAGGGCCAAAGCAATTGTCCTGTCATCTGTATTACTGTGGCACTGTAGCATGCTTTGGAATTTCTCACATTGGGTTAGAACGATTTATCCCAGTGCCTGTCTTTCCTGCCATGAGTAAGATGACAGCTGCAGTCCTCTCATCATAGGCATCTTAGGGGAAAGAAAAGTTTTTGAAGAAAAAGGAATCCTGGTGGCACGGAGTTAAGCACTTGGCTGCTAACCAAATGGTGGTGGTTCAAACCCATCAGATGCTTTGTAGGAGAAAGAATTGGCAGTCTGCTTCCATAAAGATTTACAGCCATGGCAACCCTATCGGGCAGTTCTGCTCTGTCCTTCAGGGTCACTATGAGTTGGAACCAACTTGACAGCAATGAATTGGGGTTATTTAGATCTGGGTTGGAATCCTGGCTGAGTGCCCTTGGATATTTCCTCTGTGTCAGAGTTTCCTTATTGTTAAATGATGAAAATACTAAATTCAGGAGCTGTTATGCTCTGTTACATAGCAAGGAAGTGGGCCACAGCAGCTAAGGAAGGTATTTTACCTTCTTTCCCTGACCACAAAACTCTTCATTCCAAGAGCCATCCCCCATCCAGCTGTGAGTTCTCTGAGGTCAAGAACTTCATTAAATGTTGCATCCTTTTCTGCCTTGCCCAAAGCCCCGCAAATAGTATGTACTCAGCAAATGTTTGTCAAGAAGAAATAATTAGAAAGCTGACTAGTCTTTATATACTTTGCTGTTAGCTGCTGTCTAGTCAATTCTGACTTGAATTTCAAGTTTCAGAAACAACTCAAAAGAAGGCAAAGAAAGAGTACACCCTTTGCTGGGGTTGGTGAGGGTCATTCTAAATGGTAGAGAAAACATACAGGGAAATTCTGGAGGAGAAGTTACTGTAAGCCAGGCTGTGTAACCATTAAAGGGCCTTGGCATCAGGGAAAAATGTGTACTTCCTTAGCAGTGATTGCAGTTTGTATCTCTAGAACTCTAATGATATTCCTTCACCTTTCCATTGAGTAGATAGGTGGCAGGCTGCATGATGTTCATCAGAACACCCACTGGACTCCAGCTAAATTTGTATCTCAGCGGATTGTTGGAATGTTCCGGGGCTGGAATTCCACCACAGTAGGAAATGTAAGATTCAATCTGTAAATGAAAGAAACAATGTTAGGAAGAGTAATGTATCTAGTAACTAATTATGAGTGTAATGACATGAATGAAGTTAATGTGCTACTTTTTCCTCTCCTACACTTAACAAGGTTTTCAAAAATACCTCCCTGTATACCATTTTAAGGAGCTCTGCTAACCAAAAGTCAGCGGTTTGAACCCACCAGCTGTTCCATGGAAGAAAGAAGAGGCAGTCTGTTTCTGTAGAGATTTACAGTTGGAAATCCAGTAGGGGTGCTATGAATCTGAATCCACTCAAGGAGATTGATTTCATATACTATTTGATTAATTCACAAATGAATATAAGTATATATAGACATATATATATATATACATATATATTCACATATAAAATGAGTATTTATTCATGGAAAGCCTCTAGATACTGAGAGTAACATTTTATTCAGTTAAAATCCAACTGTTAGGTCAATTCTATTTGGTCAATTCCTACTGACTTTTGTATTCAAATTATAAAATTTCAAAGAAATTGAAGTATTTCATCTATATCATCACGTTTATCATTTCTGCTTATGTGCAAAATATACTTTGTACACCAATAGATGGATAAGATTTCAAAGAATTACGCCCACTTTTAAAATATAAATCTTATTACAGAATCTCCAAGGAAGCCTAAAATCTTTTATTATTAAACCAAAATACTGTCATAACATCTATTTCTCTAAACAATGGCCACTAAGACTTGGACCTTATTTGACCATAATTCTAGAGTTATAGAATTTTATCTGAAATGTCTAGTCATTGTATGAATTAGAGTATAGCAACATCTTTATTCAAAACTACAGAAAGAATATTTTATATAGACAATAACCAGGACCATTTACTATTTTCCTAAATAGACCTCTGGCTCACCGTGGCTCCAACTTCTTTAGCCTTATCTATTGTTTCCATTGCCAGCATATGATCAAGGCCAGGGTCCAATCCCAATTCACCAATGACTGTGATGCCAGCATCTTCCACACTGCCACAGATGAAAAGAAGAAGGAACCATTGAATATAAATAAAAACAATGCTATGGGGCCACTTATATGGTTGAAAAAGACTGAAACATACCTCTTTTCCAATTCTTTTAGCGCTGGTGTAATATAGCTTGCCGTGACCATGTTAACTTTGCTTGCAATGCATGCCTTGGCCACAAGAGGATGCAATACATAAGGCAACAAGCTTAAACAGAGGAAGAAATTAATCAGCAACTTTCTTTTCAACTCTACCTCCAACATACTTTGAAATGTACCAGAGCTTTGTCCTAAGGCACTGCTCTGATGAAATTCTTTTCTCAGGAATGATCAATGACTCCTTGTGGAGTTTACCACATTTAAAGCCCTCCTCAATACAACTTTACCTCACCTAAACTTTCTATTTTTCTCTCCTAAACTCTGATGGCATAGTGCCTAAGGCACTGACTGCTAACCAAAGGGGGGGATTCAAACCCACCAACCACTCTTGGAAGGAAAATTGGGCAATCTACTCCCATGGAGATACCACCTCGGAAACCTAAGGAGGGGTCACCGTGAGTTAAATTGACTTGATGGCAGTGAGTTTGGTTTTTCGCTTTTTTGTTTTTTAATCTCCTTCATATCCCATATATGTGAACCAAGGGAGCTATCATATTCTCCGTTAAGCGATCCCTGAGAATGTATCTCCTCCAAGAAACTTCCCCAGATTCCCCCAAAGCAACATCTCCTTCTCTGTATACATCCAATGACTTCTTTATAACATTTAATGGAATTTACTGTTTAATAATGGGATTTACTCCATTCTTCCATATATTTTTACATTTTTTCTAACTTGGGTCTCCTTCTAAAAGACTAAAACCTCCATGTCTTTAAATGGCCACCAGGAGGGACAACGTGGATCATGTGTTAACATCAGAAAGTAGAGTCTGGAAAGGGCCAGAGAAAGGCAAAGGCTTTAACAGTATTAACCGGTAGAGAGGTTGTCAAAATGGCTAAAAATGTATAGGGTGAGGAAAAAAGTGAAGCTGGGTTGAAATAATATCCAGCTTTGATTGGTTTCCTAAATAGCTGGCTTTGGTATTTTAAATTGGTGCTGCGATGACACAATCACACTCACAAAAACAATTTCTATAAATATTGATATTAATGAGCATAACCATAGTCTATTCAGGGAATACTAAAACAGCGTGTTAATTGCACAGCGTCATTTAAGTTGGTGACGCAGTCTACACAGTACCAAAAATATATAAACATAAACTTATAAAGAGCATCACATTGTGCTACTGTACATGTCAAATTCATTGTGAATAATTCAGATTTTCTCTATTTCATTTTTTTTTTTAAAAAAAAGCATCTCACAGACACTTATTCCTCAAGTCAATAGACTAGAGTAATGCCACTTAGAGTTAATGTTATATAGAATAAAATTGTGTATATAGTCTGCAGTATCAAAAGCTCCTAGAAAAATTCTCCATCTTTGTGTTTGGCTTTTTTTAATAAAAGAAGAAGAAGAATTACAGACTTGGTAGCCCTTGAACAGTCGTTAAACAAAATACTCACAAAACTCTTTGTCAGAATAAAGTAGTAATATAAAATATACAATGCCACCATTTTAAAGGTCAAGTGGAATTTTTTTTATCACATTTCCTGCACTGAAAACTTGGCATATCAAAATTTTGCCAAGATCTAATAATATTTAAAAGGCTTGGCATTCTCAGCAATAACTTAATAATATACTGAGAACTAGAATGATAGGGCTTTGATTGATGGAATTGTGGAACAAAGATATGGGAGTTCTTGATTCTTCTTTCCATATTTGATATAGTAACTACTCAATGGAACACAGGAGCTCTGGTAGCATAGTGCCTAAGGCACTTGATTGCTAACCAGAAGGCTGGAAGTTCAAACCCACCAGCCACTCCTCGGGAGGAAGATGGGTCAATCTACTTCCGTAGTGATACTGCCTCAGAAACCCAAGGAGGGGTCGCTATGAGTCAGGTCTGACTCGACGGCACATAACAACAACAACAACAATGGAACACAGTCACTGAAGTTTTTCACTCCAACCCTATTAATGCAAATGCTTGAAAATGTCAGAAAAGCTACTTATGAAAAATATACACAAAATACAAATTGAATTGTCAAAGTAACTTATCAAAATCAATTATTTCCTTGTAATTGCAACTTGTTTTATATCATTAAAAACTAAAATTAAAAAACTAAATCTATATGAAGATTTGACATGTTAGTTATTCTGAAAAATTTGGTGAAACATCTTTGCTTATTTTGAAATTCTTTTCCTATTACTGTGCTTACATCAAAGTACTTTTCCTTCAACTTATGAAATAACGAATATAAGGAAGATTATAGCATAGCAACACGTAATGGCATGAGCACTATTCTGCATAGAACTTGAATCAACTGAGAAAAAATAAATCATAACAAATTTTGCTAATGCTGAATCTTATTAAGGCCACAAGTTTGTTAAATGTTAAAATTTGCATATATTAACAGACTACTGTCTCTGTCCACCATCTTTTCATATTTTGCTTCAGATTCAGTTCCATAAATGTTTTATGCTGTTGCTTTCTTTTTTTAAAAAATTTTAAATAAAATTTTTGTTTTACTCAGTTAGGACTGGGGCATTGACTTTGATTCAAGACTTATTTTCATAGCCATATCACTGTCAGTCAAGATCCATTGGTCATTAGTAAATTTTTGCTGAACAAAACTTAACATACATCAAATTGTGCAAATTGAGTAAACATTAAGTGTGTAAGGTGAGCGTATATTTAAAGAGATCAAGAGATAAAATAAAAATTTCCACATGTTATTAGGTTTACTTTTCATTGTATCTATTTTTCTAAGCCTGTTAGAACTTCCTTCAAAGATATAATTTGAATCTGATCTCACTATGAAAATGATTACAAACAATCATTATGAGTGAGCAGGTACACTTCTTTCTCCTACCTTGGAAAATAAATGTATTCTAAGGATAAATGACTATTCTCATCATTTTGTTATCTCAGCGACCATCTTTGGGTTGCTGAGGCAGTAAATCTTTATGGAAGTAGATTGTCCCATCTTCCTTTCACGAAGCAGCTGGTGGGTTTGAACTGCCAACCTTCTGGTTAGCAGTCAAATACTTGAGGCATCACACCACCAGAGCTCTTTAGTTTAATTATAGGGTGAACCATAAATAGCTCTGTACCTAGAAATCTGATCTGAATTTTTATTAGATAATAATAAACACAAAGGAGTGCTGGCAGTGCTGTAGTTAAAGCATTCAGCTGCTAACCAAAAGGCTGCTGGTTTGAACCCACCAGCTACTCCATGGGAGAAAGATGACACAGTAACTTCTGTGAAGATTTACAGTCTTGGAAATCCTACGAGGAAGGTCTACTCTGTCCTATAAAGTGGCTATGAGTCAGAATCAACTCAATGACAGAGGTTAGTAATAAACACTGTATTTCAAGATTTGTCCCTATGAAAAACTTAAATGGTCATAAAGTTAGAGAAACTCTGGTCATTTTCACTTAAGCTTTATAAGTCTACAAGGATTAAACAGCTCTGGTGGCATAGTACCTGAGGCATTTGACTGCTAACCAGAAGGCTGGCAGTTCAAACCCACCAGCCACTCCTCAGAAGGAAGACTGCCTTGGAAACCCAAGGAAGGGTTGCTACGAGTTGGATCCGACTCGACAGCAGTGAATTTGGTTTTGGTTTTGTTCTTTTTTGTAATGGATGACACACAAATGTTACACCCCACCAATTCCACTTCTACGTACACATCCAACAGAAATGGATATATATGTTTACCAAAACACATGTACTAAAATGTTCATAGAAGCACATTCATAAAGAGTTAAAATTGAAAACAACTAAATATACAGGAACAGTCGAATGAATACATAAATGATGGTATATCCAAACAAATGGAATACATACAGGAACAAGAATGAATAAACATTTACAGATAACACGCATGACTCATAATCACAATATGGGAAGGTAGATATTATCAAGGATATAACGAATGGTTCCAATTACACAAAATTTGAAAGAAGCCAAAAACTAACCTATGTGTTAAAAGCCAGGATAGTGCTCACCCTTCGGCAAGGGGTATTAGTGATGAGGAGGGACCACAAGTAGAGCTTCTGGGGTAATATTAATATTCTGCTTCTCAAGTTTGGTGTTGATTATACAATATGTTCACTTGGTGGAAACTCATCAAGCTATTCACTTATGATTTGTGCGTACTTCTGCATATATACTTCAATTTAAAATGTACTTGAAGAGAAAGAATAGAAGAGGAGAAGAGGAGAGGGAAGAGAAGGAGAAAAATAGTAACAACAACCAAAGAAAATATGGGATTCATTTCTTGCCGGACACCTACCTAATGACAAGATCCTGTGCAGCCACCAAGGAAGCCAACTTCTCTTGCTGTTGATCAATATCCACACAAACTGGATTAATATTGTATTTCTTATTTAACTGTTCAATTTGATTCTTCATATCAGAAGCTATTTCAAGAATTTAAAAAGTCATTTTTTTAGATATTCATCCACTACTCTGATAGTTAAACACATCTTAACATCTTCAAAAATAGACTGAGAAACCAAATAGTCATCTAAAATGACTATGAAGTCATATGAATGCCACACCAGTGGTTTGTCATTGTTTTTGTCTGTCTTCTTTCCAAAAGCAAGGCTTATTTACCTACTGTGATTTCTGTATTGCCATCTCTCAACAGGTATTCCAATACAGGCTCTGATACATAGCCAGTTCCAAGAACCAACACCTTTTTTTTGGTGCCCATTGTAAGCGACTGAACACGTTCTCTATAAAAAAGGGGAAGGAGGAAATAATTTAAAATTTTTTAAAATAACAAAAGCTAGCTTCCTAAAAACCAAACTAAAACCTAGGCATTGAAGTATTTCTTTCCTCATTGCTAACAACAATAACTAATTGTGTTCATGAGGAACCTGTACATAGACCAAGAGGCAATTGTTTGAACAGAACAAGGGGATACTGAATGGTTTAAAATTAGAAAAGGTGTGTGTCAGGGTTATATCATTTCACCATACTTATTCAATCTGTATGCTGAGCAAATAATCTGGGAAACTGGACTATATGAAGAGGAACATGGCCTCAGGATTGGAGGAAGACTCATTAACTACCTGAGATATACAGATGATATAACCTTGCTTGCTGAAAGTGAAGAAGACTTGAAGCACTTTCTGATGAAGATCAGAGACTACAGCCTTCAGTATGGATTACACCTCAACATAAAGAAAACAAAAATCTTCACAACTGGACATAGTGATTGTCTAATTATTTACAATGCAACTATGATAAATGGAGAAAAGACTGAAGTTGTCAAGGATTTCATTTTACTTGGATTCACAATCAATGCCTATGGAAGCAGCAGTCAAGAAATTAAATGATGTACTTCCCTGGGCAAATCTGTAAAACACTTCTTTAAAGTGTTTAAGAACAAAGATCGCACTTTGAAGACCAAGACTTGCCTGACCCAAGCCATGGTATTTTTAATAGCCTCATATGCATGTGAGAGCTGGACAATGAATAAGGAAGACTGCAGAAGAACTGATGTGTTTGAATTGAATATTAAATGTTCTATGGACTGCTAGAAAAATGAACAAATCTACCTTGGAGGAAGTACAGCCAGAATGCTTCTTAGAAGCAAGAATGGCCACACTCGGTCTCTCATACTTTGGTCATGTTGTCAGAAGGGACCAGTCTCTGGAGAAGGGTAATATGCTGGCTAAAGTAGATGGTCAGTGAAAAAGAGGAAGACCCTCAACAAGATGGATTGGCACAGTGGCTGCGACGACAGGCTCAAGGATGGCAAAGATGGTGAGGATGGCACAGGAGCAGGCAGTGTTTTTTCCTGTCACATGTAGGGTCACTAGGAGTTGAAACTGGGGCATCAGCATCTAACAAAACAATCATAACCTCAACAGGTGTTCCATATGTCAACATTCTTCATTAAGTTTTTTGTGTTTGGGTGATAAGAACAACAGACTCACATCTCTGAGATATAAGTCTGCAGACTTTTATGAATTCCTGATACCACCAGTGTGGTGCAGATGCTGGACTACTGCTTGGCTCATTCTTAACTGATGAACTTGGTATCACCCTCTATCCTTCCAGGAGATATGATTGAAAATCATGGTAGGAGCTTTACATCTAAAACCTTATTTATTGCTCACAACAATCTGATGAAGAGATTATGACTATCCACATTAGAAATTATCTTGTTGTTTATTTTTTAGGGTCACTTGAGAACAGATGGAACCATAACTTTGAAATCACAAATGCCCTGAGTTATATGTAGACTTAAGCAGCTAGTCTGTTAGAGCTTGCACTTTCCTGAAAGATAACTCTCTGTCTTTCTCATAAACTATGACCTCTAAGACAGGCACTAAGTCTTCCTCATCTTTATAAGCCCATCAGTGTTCAGCACATTTTATCTTGAATATGGATGGTTCTCCTTAAATGTCTTTTTAATCATATCCTGATTATCTTACCACCTTGTAACTAAGGAAATAACCTGGTGTGAGGAAATTAACCAGACTCTGTTCTCAGGAACTTTAGGCCATGACACTTTTCATTAATTATAAATGAATACAAATAAATATTAGTGTAAAATTTTCCTACCTCCTTTTACCTACAACACACACATACTGCTGATCAAAGAGCAACAATGCCCATTGGTTTCAGCCTGTCACTTAGTTTGGTTTTCCTACGTTTACAGAACATAGCTCCACATTATCAAAATTTTCACACTTCATAAACTTAATATCAAGAACTGATGACTCCCACTCCCACTAAACAAACTTTTCAAATCCAACATAAGAATAAATGCATAAAACGAGAAGATTTGAACAATCCTTACCTGTTCTCCCGGAGTTTCTGGATATATTTATACTTATCAGGCAATACACCGTTGGATGTGATCACTGCCTAAATATATATGACACAAGACATTTCTTTAGTCATCACAGGTTAAACCAACAAACATGGGCTCACAAACTGATAGAGAGGAGACAGAGTGACAGATAAAAAAGAGAGATAAGCGGAGAAAAAGAGGAAGGGCAAGGAGGGAATGAGGATGTTGGTAGACCAAGTACATTCATGGAAGGAAACTTTTTTGATAACTTACGTCTCGCACCACTGGAGAAAAATTCTGGCTTTCTAGAGGCTGTGTTGCATCTGATAATATCTGAAAGGAAAAAGTGACTGGTAAGAGGTAAATAGTATTGTGAAGAAGGCTTCTTTGTGGTTGAATCAACATTAAAATGTTGTTGCTTTTAGGTGCCATTGAGTCAGCTCCGACTCACAGTGATCCTATGTACAACAGACATTAAAATGTCAGTCAAAGAAAAAAAAATAATGTGAAAATAGTTTTCTTAAGATCATGGAAGATAAATAGTTGGTAACGACGCATTCTACTAGAAACCAACTCTGCTCCTAAGAACACGTTGTTTCAGTACTAGCTGAAACCTAAAATTTGATTACAATCATCTTTGCTTGCTGGGAACACACATAAAGCTTATCCTTCTCACCAGAGAAACACCATACTGAGCGCACTGGAAAATAACACCCCAAGCTTTATAACCACCAACTTCCCTCTGAGGGCCTGCTAGCCCATCCCATAGGTTCAGGCTGCTCTATTAGAAGCAGAAGGTGAGTTTTCAAGACAACAGGCAACCAGTCCTGCAGTTAAGGGGTATCCCTCAGGTCAGTATTAGTTCTATGTGTCGGCATATCAACAAAAATGGTAGAGAAAGTGAATTCATCAAGTAGAACTCAAAAAGCCATCCACCCAAGGAAGAAGAAAAGTCATTCACAGAGTCTTCACATTATCTCTCAAGAATGAGTCATACGGCCAACAACAAAAGCCACATCTCTCATATTAACATCCCAGCATCTTTCTATTTCTTCTCTTTTCTTCCAGTGCACCCAACCCTTGTATATAGACTGCAAAGGGGTAAAGGTCAGTTAAGTCAGTATTCTTTGTGATGGGAAGGGATGGGTTAATGAGGTATTCTGTCCTCTCTAATCATAGCCTACAGTCTAGAGCACTCACTCACCTAAGAAAGAATAAAACTTACCTAGCAGAGGCTGGCAGAAGAGTATTTATTCTATTAGAATAAATAGAAAACAAATTTCATGTATCTAAAGCACAAGACACTTAGGCTATCACTGGGCTATTGGCTTAAAAAAAAAAAAAATCTGTAAGCCAAGGCATTCTTTGGGAAAGGCATGGACTTGACATACCTCTTGCTCTCACACTGCTTCCTTCTCCCAGCCACCTTTGGAGCATTTACCTTCTCAAGCAGATTCCTCTACCTCCAGGGCAGAAGCTAGCAGTAGATAACAACATGAGGTCCTAATTTTAAGCAGTATATAACTAAACTACTAAAGTTTTGTGTATCTTTTTACTCTGCCTGCTCTGTATCTCTAACTTATAGGCTGACTTAGGGTTCACTTGGACTGTGGGAACTCCTTCCCACTTCTCTTTTTTCCATTTACTTCCCATCTAAAACTAAACTGATTATTTTTCCTGTGGTTATTTAAAATAATTCCATAGCTTTACATTGCCTTCAAGATACAATGTCTAGTTCCCTATGTGGTCTACAAGGACCTCTCTACAATCTGGCTGTACCTCAGTAACCTCAGCTGTCTCTTTGGCCCTTTGATAGTTTTAGTCCTTCTGATAGCTTGGAGACCCCCTACTGTGCCATGCTTTCACGTACACCTATGCTATGTCATGGGGATGCCTTACTTGCCATTTCCTCTGCCTGGAACTCCCTCTTCCTGGTTGGTCACTCACTCAAACAATTCTTCCATGTCCTAAAAAAGATACAGCTGAAGAACTTCCTCTTCTGTAATGCCTTTACCAAAATCTGCTCCTCAAAATACCTTGAAGGTAGGTATTGTCCTTGGCATCTTACTACACATCGGCCACATGAAAGGATGGTAAATAGTCAATAAACGGATACATAGAATATTTAATTATTTAAAATTAAATTGATTTTCTCCCAAGAAAACTGAAGGATTGCCACAAGTTCACCTAAAGAAAGGCAAACATAAAAAACAACAAAAGGCTGCTCAGTCACAGCTTCCTGCTTCTCCCACTAGAATCCAACCATTAGGAAACTGCCAGCATATGAAACATAAGGTATGTCTCCTATATGACACCTCTGATAACTGATCACTGTTTTCCAAATGAGTTAATCCTGGCATAGGACCCTTTACGATACAGTCCCAACAAACTTAGCATTACTCAACCAGATTTGACAAGTACAAGACATTCTGCATTAGTTCAACTCCCACATTTGTCATGTGGTTTCTAATGTGGTATGTCTCTCATCCCCCAGAAAAGCACAAATCTTACACATCTATCACAAGCCAGCTCAAATGTCACTTCTTATATAAAACCTTTCCAGATTTTACCAACAAGATACACTTTTCTTTCCCTAACTACATTTGCACCTTTCCAATGGCTGTCATGTTCCACCTTATGGAGGTGATGCACACTTCTGTCATCCCCTTCCTTGATCCTATGCTTCTATAGGACGGGGCTGTCTCCTACATCTTCTCCTCATCCTTATCTCCATCTTCTCCCAAGGGATGGTCAATAAACATTTACTGAATTCCTCTGAAACAGCCTTCTATACCAGTTGCAAATTGATAGTCTGTGTGCCTTAGAATGCTGCAGGATCAGTATGGATCTTCAGTAAAAAAAGAAAAGAGGGGGTCAATCTGGAAAAAAAAAGAAACAGTGTCTATACTCTAACTACAGTTTCCATCAAGTTAACAGAAAAACATATGGAACATATACTGACTTTTAGTAGTAAGCAGGCATAAATATAATAAGACCATTAAGTAGAGACAGTCATCAATTATCACAGAGGCTCAGTGCTTAAATATACTGTTAAGATAGTGTTAAGACCAATACCACCACTACTTCCTGAAGAACCATTATAATGTCAAAAACAACAGAAAGGTGAACATTTTATGGAAGCTGACTTAGTCAGCAGGTACTCAAGCAACACCACCTGTCTCAAGATTGACCAAAAGTGTCTCACAATTCATTCTCACATTTATTACCTTGTCATACTGGCTAAAATTCTTTCAAATACTGATTTGTGTTAAGTTAAAATAAAGTAACCTTTTTAGATGAGCATTTATCATCCAGCAATGAGGAAGTAACTTGATTTCAGACTAACCTTCCTGTTATGGATTGAACGTGTCCCCAAAAATATGTGTTGTAAATCTTAATCTCTAAGCTTATGCTTTGCTTATTGGTCCATACGACTGGTTACAAGTGGACCAATAAGCAACATTACAACGAATGGAGAAAAAATGGAAGTTGTCAGCGTTTTCATTTTACTTGGATCCACAATCAACACCCATGGAAAAGGCAGTCAAGAAATCAGACAATGTATTGTACTGGTCCAATCTGCTTCAAAAGAACTCTTTAAAGTGTTAAAGAGCAAAGCTGTCACTTCCAAGATTAAGGTGCACCTCACCCACATCATGGTATTTTCAATAGCCTCATATCACTGTGAAAGCTGGACAATGAATAAGGAAGAGCAAAAAAGAATGGATGTATTTGAATTGTGGTATTGGCAAAGGATACTGAAAATACTGTGGACTGCCAGAAGAACAAACAAATCTGTCTGGGAAGAAGTACAACCTGAACACTCCTTAGAAGTGAGAATGGCCAGACTTCATCTCACATACTTTAGACATGCTGTCAGAAGGGACTAGTCCCTGGAGAAGGATACCACGTTTGGTAAAGTGGAGAGTCAATGAAAGAAGGGGAAGATCGTCAATAAGATGGATTGACACAGTAGCTCCAACAGTGGGCTCAGGCACAGCAAGTATTTTGAGGATAGCCAGTGTTTCATTCTCTTGCACACAGGGTCACAATGAGTGGAAGCCAACTGGACAACATCTAATGACAACAACATGCTGGTGCTTATAATTCCATTTGGAAATAGGTTGTCTTCCTTATGTTAATGAGGCATGATTAGTGTCAATCTCTTTTGAGATATGAAAGAGTTTAAACAAGCAAGCAAGTGAGCAGAGATGGGATGAGATAGAAGCCAAGACACACGGAGATCTCCAACGAGCCAGGAAGCAGAAGATAAAGAGACAAGGACCTTCTTCTA